CACGCGCCGCCGCGAGGTAAGGAATAAGAAATGCAAAGTGGAAAGGAAACGATTTGCTAGACTGTGAATATGATCGAATAGAGTAGAGATCGACGCACCTTGACAAGTCATTTTCGATTTTCACGCGCGAGAAAACGATTCTTTTCTTCACGCTGATTCGACGCTCTGTGAGAACGTTCCAACGAGAAATTAATGATTTATAACAGAAAGAAGAAAAAAAGAAAAAAAAAGAAAAGAATTCCTTTTGGTAATTGGAGCGTAACTGATGAAAATTCTTGAGATAGGTAGGTTGGCAAGATCGTCGTGCAGACGTGCAAAATATAGATACCACGTATACGTATACCACGACTACGCACGAAGAAGAAAACAGCAAACGAGCAGACAAGCAGATAGCAGTAGTAGCAGCCATCGCATCGATGGAACGAAGAAGAGGAAGAAGGGGTACGGACGACAATTCGAGCTGTAGCTTTCGGCGAACAGTGCGCGCGATCCTGCCACCCTTTCGACAATCTCTTCGTCATTCTTCACTCTAAACTGTATATACGGTTTACCCGCCTTCCTACTACTCGCTTCCCCACGCGGCGAATCTTTCGTCGAAAGAAAGAAGAATGTCGAATTACTCTTACTACTACGTGAAAGTAGTCGCCGACGATACCGATAACTTGAGAACGTACAAATTTATAAAAGGGTAAGCTGTTGTTCGATTTCGATCGGAACGAATCCTCCGAGCGTATGCATCTGTCGTTGTTTCGTCTCTCTTCGAATCGTGACGTTCACGTGGTCGAGGATTATTATCGAGGCAAGTGAGACAGACGTCTCGCTCGTTGCTCGAAATTCGTGAACGTGCCTTGCGTGTTCGTCGCGTCGTCTCGCGCGTCACAGTGTGTGTGCAGTGTGGAATGCATGGACTTTCAGATAATCTACTTGTTTGTCCATCGACGTAGCGTATAGCTGCTAACTCTTCTCTCCAGAAAAGCTGATTTATTCGTAGGAACCCTACCCTGTTTAAGTCGCCGGACGACACATGGTCCACGCACGGCCGCTACAATCTCTCGTCGCGGTTACTCCGAGGAGGACTGTCCGGTTCCGGCGATGTCCATCATCCAGCGAATGCCGTTTTCAAGGTCCGTGCTCGCTCATTCCCGATACTTTTTCACAACCACACCGCCCAACACCCTATATGCGTAATACCTAACGAACATCTAATAAACCATCTAATAAATCACCTATCGATCGCACGGTATATACAAGTTCCGGCGATTTATCCATTGATTTTTCATCCAGAAAAAAAAAAAAAAAAAAAAAAAAAAAAAAAACGC